AATATTAATTATATCTTGAATTTTAGGTTTTGGGCATTGAAGCTGTACGTAAGTCAGTTGAAAAAGAAATGAATACCGTGTTGCAGTTCTATGGTCTGTACGTAAATTATCGTCATTTAGCATTGTTGTGTGATGTTATGACAGCCAAAGGCCATTTAATGGCCATTACTAGACATGGTATTAATAGACAAGACACAGGAGCATTAATGAGGTAAATATTCATGGTACATTATTATTTATCAAATGTAATTTAAAATTTGGGTTTATTAAGAATATGATAATTTAATATTTTCAGATGCTCATTTGAAGAAACAGTCGATGTTTTATTAGATGCTGCTTCACATGCTGAAGTTGACCCAATGAGAGGTGTATCTGAAAACATTATTATGGGACAATTGCCTAGAATGGGAACAGGTGAATATTATATTTTTATTTACTGTACATTTATGACTGACATCCCCACTAATAGTTAATATAAATAATACTTGTTTGTAATCACCAAAACAACCCTCCATGTTTGACTTTTTATGCGACAAAAAATGATAGATTAGAAAAATAGACAAAAATGTAGGTGTTAGTCACTCAACTCTGTTATATGGTTAAACAATTTTTTTATCCACTTTTCTTCTACATAAGGTGTTTTCGTGTACTTAATCTTGTATATTAACTGTTAGATATCTACCTAGGTTATAACCTAACCTAACCATATAATATATTCAGGGCCGGCCGTAGGTCTTTTGCCGCTCTAGGCAAATCTAACTTACGCTGCCCTATATGCAATAGTTAATTTTTTTGAGAGAAGCGGGTTGAATATAATATGGACATTTATTTTTAACTATAAACCCTCGTTTTATTTTTAAAAAAAAAATGCTTTGACTGACCTCAGTTTTCTTTACAAAATATAAAATAATAATAATACAATTAATATGAATGTTGGGTATGAAGTAGAACAAGTAATATTTTTGACCATCGTTTCTCATTCAGTATTATTATCATAGATCAACAATATGTATTTAATTAAACATTAAAAAATATATTAAATGAAATTAATTTTGCGAGCGTTTTCTTGGGCAAAATCAGTCGGTACATTTTTAAACTCCAGGTTCTCCATTACTTCTTTTTCAATAGGAATTGTAACAAGATCACTCAACTTTTCTTGATTCATAGAAGACCTCAAATAGTTTTCAATTATTTTTAATTTGGAAAAGCTCTGTTCACCAGATGCAACCGACATAGGCATAGTTAAAATAATGCGAAGTACTACAGCTACATTTGGTTACGTTCTCGGTAAACGAAGTATCAATAGTATTAGTATATTATTATTAGTTATTACTTATTACAAATTTATTTATGTATATTTTGAACAATGAACATACAATTCAGCATACTATATTATATTATAATAAATAAATCACTTTGGTTCATTCGAAATTTGACGCCCCCACACTAGTGCCGCCATAGGCGGCCGCCTATTTTGCTACCACATTGAGCCGGCCCTGAATATATTGACTTAGCTTAATTATTAATTTTTTTATTTATAATTTATGATAGTTGACTTAGGTTTTATTGATAAAGATTTACTGATAAAACAATATAGACTCTAGAGCAGGGGTCGGCAACCGGCGGACCGTGGTCCGGAACCGGACCGCAGAAGGCAAAACTCTGGACCCTGTCAACATTTATATTATTCCTTCTTGTTATTCATTTAATATGTTGAGAAAGACACACACAATTGACAACGAAAATAGGAAGTTTATGAACAAGTGGACAGAACTATATTGTTTTGAATTGCCTGAAAGGGTTTGAGCCATTCCAGTCTGTTTAATTTGCAATTCAGCTGTAGCTATTATTCAAAGTGGAAATTTAAAATGGCATTATTATTTTTATACTGCTATTTTTAAAATATAAAGATTTGAAAAAGATTTTTTCACTGGACCACATTGATTTATTATTTTAATCTTTAGGACTCCAATAGAAATTACTTGCCGGCCCGACCCCTGCTTAAGAGTATACATCATCAAAATAAAAATCTCTTTCAGTGACCTTAGTTAATAATTTTCACATTTTTTCTCTGCTTAAAATTATATTATACATTGTGTGTGATAATTATTTACTTACGGTTAATTAAATTTAAAATTTAAGAGTGCAGCAAAATTATTATAATTAAATGGATTCTGCTTAAAAATAAAAAAATTGGTGCTGTGAATTCTACAATTTTTTTTCGTAATGCTTTTACTGTAATATGTACTACTATTTACTACTGTAATTATATGTGAATATAGTGTTTAAATAAAAATGTAAAATAATATTGATAATCGATTAATTATTTTTGTATAGGTTGTTTCGACTTGCTTTTGGATGCTGAAAAAGCTAAAGATGGTATAGAAATACCAATGGATAATGGTTATATGGGTATGGGTGGCGGTGGCATGTTCATGGCTGCTGGCACACCTTCTATGTCACCAGCTATGACTCCGTGGGATCAAACATCCACTCCAATTTATCAAAATAGTTGGTCTTCAAGTATGAAACATACAATTATGAAGTTCTTTTAAAAAAAATATTCCTATAATCAATTATTTCTCTAAGGTTTGGAAACTGGCATGACTCCTGGAGGACCTGGTTTTTCACCAGCAGGATCAAGTGAAGCTAGTGGAACTTCTCCATTCTGGATGTCATCTGGAGGAACTCCGGGTAGTCCTGGATCTCCAGGCATGGCCACTAGTCCATATGTGCCTAGCCCTAGTTCCATGTCACCAAACTATAATTATCCTTCCAGTCCACAGTTTGGATCTTTATCACCTTCTATGACTCCAACTAATTATTCGCCAACAAGTCCTCAATACTCTGCTACACAACAAAACACTCCAAAATACTCTTCAATGTCTCCTAATTACAATTATTCCCCAACAAGCCCATCATACTCGCCGACTAGCCCTTCGTACTCTCACACTTCATATTCTCCAACAAGTCCCTCGTATGTATTTTTAAATTACATTTAGGTTAATCTAAAGAAATAAATATTAACAAATTAACTTGTTTAATTTTCTATGTTTAGCTACAGCCCGACATCTCCTTCATACAGCCCTACGTCTCCGTCTTACAGTCCAACGTCTCCATCATATAGCCCAACGTCTCCATCATATAGCCCAACGTCCCCATCGTAAGCATAATTTATAATTTAAAATAAAAGACATATTTACAGATTTTTAAATTGGTTCTATTTTATATAAACATGAGTTGAGCTATAATTTTCATTTTTTATTTTACAGATACAGCCCTACCAGTCCTTCATATAGCCCTACGTCTCCATCTTACAGTCCAACATCTCCATCATACAGTCCAACTTCACCATCGTAAGTTCCTTTAAAGTTTAATTAATTACCTGTATTATTTTGTTTTAAAAATATCTTAACTTATAACCCATAATTTAGTATTTGTAATTTTTAAAAAAATGTATTATTAATCTAAAAACTTCTGTGTGTGTTGTTAGTTATTTATATAGTATAGTTATTTGTCTCTCGGAAATGGTTCACTAACAATTCATTTGTACCTATTTTAGTATTTATAAATTGAAGTATTGATTTAATAAAACATATTTTAGGCATATATATATATATTTTTTTTTTTTCCAAAGACAAACTAAAATATAATAATTGTCTTACAGGTACAGCCCTACATCACCATCGTACAGTCCGACATCACCTTCATACAGTCCAAGCTCTCCACAATATGCAGCATCTTCTCCATCTTATACACCTAGTGCTGCATCTGGGGCAAGTAATTACAAATATTCGCCCACTTCACCATCCCTTGCTGTCAGTCCTACATACTCCCCTACCAGTCCAATGTACTCGCCTTCAAATGCTTCTTATTCTCCATCTTCTCTACAACATACACCCAATGCTGGAGGTACTCAATACAATCAGTCATACAGTCCCAGTTCGCCTGTTTATTCACCAACCAATTTCTCGATGGCTAGTCCAAGGTAAGCCAAATAGTTTTCTCACTCAAATAAGCCTGTTATCCCTAAATTTTTTATTTTAGGTATTCTCCTACTTCGCCAACATATTCACCTGGTGTTGGAAGTCCACATTATTCACCATCATCGCCCAGCTATTCGCCAACGTCTCCAAATTATAGTGGACCAGATGAATCTTGAGAAGAGATTATTTTTTTAATATTTTCTTATTTTTTTTATTATTGGACAGAGGGTATAGTATATAATTACTTTATTACTGTAATGTGAATACAATTTATTTTACTTTTTTAAGTTAAGATATGTTGTAATCTTATTTATTTGATGTATAATTATTGTATAATTAATGTATTAAATTATATTTACAATTATTAAATATGTTAAGTAATTATTTTTATAATACCTATATTTTTATTATTTGGATACTTAATAAGTTTTATTTCAGTGAATTAAATTTTTTATTATTCTCATAATTGTTTGTATTTGTTATACTTAGTAAACATATTATATAGATATTTTCGTGGTAAACTATTGGTTAATACATTACATTTATCCAGAATAATTTGTATAGTTTATTTACATATTGAAATGAAACAAACAAATATAGATTGACGACAATGTTAGGTTATTTTATAAAAATAGTTATACCTTATTGAACTAAACTATGCTGACCTGGATTTCAAAAACAATGAATTGTTCATAATCACATGAGTAACTTCAGAACTGTAGTGGACTAGTGGACATCATCGTATGCTTCACACATTTTGAATAACATTTTTGTCAAAAGGAGTTAGTGTAACTGTGACCATGTAGTACTAATCTTTCTCATCATTATTATTACAATAAATGTTTGTTTTTGTATATCAGTTATTATATAGCGTTTATGGGTATTTTTAATCGTTAGAATCAATTTTTTTTTGATGATAGCATTGTTAAATACTTTATTAAAGATTACACATACATTATTTGAGTAATGACATTAAATAAAACTTGTGTTGGTACACAATAGAAATGAATGATTTAATTGTGTGTAAACAAAAGTTGCCATGGAAACAATATTTGTATACATAATTGTACAACCAAGGAAACAATGATAATTCAAAATTTGTCTAAAAAATGGGATGTTTCTGTTGTAAAACCACTGGAGCTGTCAAAGAGCCAAAAAAACTAGTGTACTCATGGTAATTATACTTATGTTCTACTGTATAATATATGTGCTTTGATTCAGGATATGTATGTTTAAGTAGGTATTCTTAAAATTTATTTCTAAGTAGTTGGTTTTACTCAATAAGTCAATTACTCAATAGACAACTTAGGAGCATTTTCAAAGAAAATTTGAGGTACTGTGGACCCTACTTTTCATTTAGGCTCTTGTGATCATGGATTATATAATAAGTAACTTCACATATCCATACTCAATAATCACATAATGATGACTTTGCACCTTCAATTTAAATTTACTTTTAAAAAGTAAAAAATAATCATAGGTGCGTGCAACTAGAGCTTTTAACTTGGGAAAGCTAATAATACCAACCACAAAGTTTTGATATTCATTATTTTTTATTTGTTAAAGCGTTTAAAATATTTGAGGGGCTAAACCTACAATTGGTTAGTACAATTTATGATCGATTGGTTCATTGGGTTTGCAGGGTTGAACGAAAACACTTGGACCCTGCTGATTATGTAATGGAAAATTTGAACGGCTGCACGGCATTTAAGTCTCCAGGGTCAATTGGTGGCCAGCAATTTGTTGTACGCAATTGTCAGGACTCCAATATCTACCTACTGGACCATACTGGTTCGGTAACTGTGGATGATTGTCAGAGATGCACAATTGTGCTAGGACCAACCAAACAAAGGTAAAAATAAAAATCTTGTAGATAGGTACCAATGGGTAATTTATCAGCCTGAGAAATATTGATACTTAATAGTGCCAAGTAAATGACTGGGATGCGAGTAGGTATGTATCTACTGCACGTCTGCACTAGTGTCATTTCAGTTTTTATTAGAGTGGGGCAAAAGTTTTGACCAGCCTAAATGAGTAACCTATTAAAAAACCTCTCCCAAGCACATACTTCATATTATGTTCCCTTTCCTTCATAAAACACCCACATCCATACAACATACATACACGGAAACTTTCATGCAAGACCTCACTGCGTCTAAATATAAATTATTCCAAAATTTTCTTCTATTAGTTAGTAATTACCAATATTATAAAAGATGCATGTTTTTTCTCTAATTTAGTATAATAATTTATACAACAAGGCATCGGCCGATCGGGCTGCTTTTAAGTTAAACAGGGGTAAATTCTCACTTTGCCACTCCCTCAAATGGCGCCTCTGATCTACTATCACTTGTAAGTCTAAATTCATAACATAAATTTTCTTAATTTGGCAAAAAAAATATATATTTTACATTTTTTTTTTAACATAGACGATTATTTAATTTTTACTACTATTATGTATATTAGAAAAAAAAACATGAAAAAAATCACACATCATTGTAAGATGAATAAATTCATTGCTCATTTCAAATAAAAAGTACAAAAATAATATGACCAATTATAGAAATCATGTTTTGTTCCTACTCTTGTAATGTTGAAAAAATCAACCTTGTGTAGTCGTATAACTGTGTAAGGTGGTATGATACATGTCTCAATGTCTCATAAGCTTTTTACTCAATTATAATTATTATACAGTGTTTTCGTGAGGGATACAATCAATTCAATAGTGGTAGTTGCCTGTGGTCAGTTTAGAGTCCGTGACTGTGCATCCTTAAAGATTTCGCTGTTTTGTTCTACTCAGCCGGTGATTGAGTCCAGTCGAGAATTGCAATTCAGTTGTTACCAGTTTTATTACAACCAATTGGCTGGTAGGTATTTCTTGGCTAATATACATAACATAAAATAGAACAGGAAAAAAATAGATACCTACAATATGACATTGTCATTGGTCATTCATGTCTGCTGTAAACCACTATAACTATCATAAAGTGTTTTGGCCCTTTAACTAGATCAATTTGCCAAAGCTGATCTTAATATATGGAATAACAATTGGAGAACTGTGTATGATTATACATGGAATGAAGGTGACAACTGGGAGGTAAATGAAGAGCCCATAGTCTTCGAGTTATCTGAAGAATTACACAAGTAAGTAGATATCAGAATAACAAATTGCAAAAAATTATTTATTATGAACTTATATCCGACAGATTTAATTAGGTACTTCAGAATTATAATTCAAACTCATCTTAGATTAATATCTAGCTTGACAAATATCGAACTTAAAGAGTTCATAAACTTTATTTGTATTTAAAAAAAAAATTTTTTTGTGGGTCAGTGTGGTTTACAGCTTGTAAAAACATTTGATCACACCTAAGACTTATGTGGCTGTACTGTTTCTCAGGTATGGAATCACAAATGAATCCAAAAAATCAGTTGTGCCTCTTACCAAATGTGATCAACAGTCCGGAGAAAATTGCTTTGTTGCATTTGGATGTGGAACTGAAGCTTCACAATTTGTTCAAGCTTTACAATCACACGTAATATAGTTTATAATTATATAAATTTGTTCAAAATAATTTCTAGAGGGATATTTTAAAAATTTCTTATTTCCTAAATCTTTGGAAATAATATTAATGTTAAAATAAATTATAAAAATATTATATCTAATGACTTATTATCAAAACAATAGGTACATTAGTAAGTTTTGATTGAGTACCGCTGTTAGAATTTATTTTATCCTAACTTAACTTATCATCTATTCAAATATCTATAGCCTATAAATCGCTTAGGTATAGGTCATAACAAATTCCCAAGAAATATTTTATCAAAAGTGACAGTTGTTTTTCAGGAGACAGATTTATTGCTAATAAAATGCAATTATAGTGATGGCAAAGATGCAAAAGTGTTCCAAGAAAGAGCCAAATTATTTGGAAATAAAAAAGTTGAAACCATAATAGGACTACAAATACAGGGTCCACATGCTACAAGCAAATGTTCAGCGGTAAGGTCCACTATAAAGCATACAAGTATCATTTTAGGAGTATTACATTGCATCCAACAACTGTTACTAATCATCCTAAAGATCACACTGAATAAAATACAATACGTATGGTACAGTTTTAATTTTAATCATCTCAATTTTTTTTTTTTTTTATAGATTTTAGCCAATGATTTTCCTCAGTTCATAACAATGATCAGTAAAACGGACACTGAAGCCAAAGAACTAATTGAGATGTTTTTCCACATATTCGAGAGTGAATTTCAACCTTAATGGTTACATTTTTTTTTATGAAATTATTCCATTTTCTTAATATAATATAAACATTATTTGAACCACTTATTTGAGAAATGGCAGACGTCACAAAATTTCACATATTGAGATATTAAGTGGAATGTGTTATCAAATGATAAACGGATCATGTGTGAAAATTTGCAAAAAAAAATATTTAATTTTACCACTATAAATAATCAGTACGAAAGAGAAATAACCATGTATCACTGGTGGCGTAAAAACAGTTTTTTCTTGTTTTCTCCGAATCACCTTTTATTGACTTAAGTCAAATCTCAAATAGGTGGTTCATTTAAAGACAACATTATAAATTTTATTTTCAGAAATTGTTAAATAGCAAATTTTAAATTTATGAAAAATGTTAATTTAATTACTTTATTAAATGCATTTTACATAATCTAATAACAATGTATGTAAATTATGGTTCATTCAATATATTTAAATGGTGTTTTAAAAAATAATTATATATTTGATACTATTTCAAGTAGAAAACTTTTCAGATTTAATATTTTTATAGTATTGTACCAATCCTGCTCAGTATGATCTTTGCCAGTAGAATTATTATTAGTTTTTCTTTCGGGCAGTTGAAAAATGTATAATAATACAATTTGAATTAATTACAAGAAATAAATTGATTTAAAATATTTTCAAATAAAAAAAAAAACTATTCAATATTTGTTATTCTTCAATAAATTGTATTCAATAGCTTTGTACCTACACCTGATGTACCTTAATTTTTTACTTTTTTCGAGTATACAATTTTTAATACATACATTTGTCTAAATATTGTTTCAAAACAATTTAATATCCAATTAAACTTATAAACTTTTATTTTTATTTTTAAAGTCAAATATAAAGTTAAATAATAATCAAATGTAAAACCTCAAAAATATAATCCTCTATTATTTTTGTAATAGATGATTTTACTAGTCATAAAAAACAATTTTACATGCATTTGTCTTATCTGAGGTGTGCATGGGACTGAGAGAAAACAAATATTGCGCCACTTCTTAAGAAAGATTTGTTTGGCAAAGAAACTGTTAGGAAGACTGTGCTTACAACGAGAAGACCTTGTCAATACAAATGTTAAAGCAGTGGAACTAAGTGGATAGAAGTTGCAAACAACAGGGGAAGATGTTGGTAAATTTGCCTGGAGGACTGGTCTAAAAGCCCAAAAACCACAAGAAGCAGATTATTAATACCAAATCAATGCATACTAAATGATAATATTATTTATTTTGTCAATAATCCAATCCTCTGAATAAATTCAACTAGATAATGTGGTTTTACTTGTAGCATAAAAGTAAAATAACTCAATAAAAGAGTTGATATTAAATAATTCAGTATAATTAATTTTAACAGGCGGACAAAAATATTATATAATTTGTTTAAAAGCACATAAATAATGGACAGACTTAGGAGGATGCCACACCCGAATGTGTAGTCTTCATCTTATAAATATACAACATAGCAAATTGTACATTTATGAGAATTCATTTTCTGTTATTTTTAAAATTAGAGTGAATGGCCTATTATAAAATGTAAAGGTAAGATTATTATACAAGACATTTCAAATGCTTTGTTGATATTTTAATTACAAAGCAAATATGAGCATTTGAAAACTAATTGTTTTGTAAATATTTAAGAGTATGAAAAGGCCTAGATAGTAATTTACTTATACATTTTACGGTATTAATCTATACACTCTAATATAGATATCATAGTAAAATGGATTATTGTGAAAGTAAAAATTACTATACTGTAAAATTTGTAAGACAGAGGTAACACATATGGGTGTGGCATCCTTTTAGTTGAATGATTTTATAAAAATCTTTAGAATTCTGAATTAATTATATACACTTTTATTTGTTATGACAGTATTTGAATATTTTATGTTTATAAAGATAGTTGTTCAGAAATGACTGTTTAAATTATTTCAAATATAAATAATAACAATTATATTGTAAATTCAAAAAGGCAATAACAAAACTAAAACAAGTTAACCTGTGAAATAGGAATGGATATTTAAAGGAATGAATGGTAAAACGCAAAGACCAAGAGAAAACAAAATGCTGCCATAACACCAAAGAGTATGATTTTGTGTTGTCTGGAACGTACAATTATGGCATTTATCATTCGGGTGCTTCTACCCAGGTCTGCATTGGCATCTCTGAGCTGCAACAATACAAATCAGGTATGAAAAATATAAGTCAAACGTAAAGTGATGAACTAAGTTACCCTATTAAAAGAATTATGCATAGTTTCTCGTTGGCGATTTAAATCCGTCAGTATTTGTGAACCAATTTCTTCAGTTTCAACAGAAATACGATAAGTGTTATCCAATTGTATTCCTGATTGGTTTAAACGTTCAGAGGTATAAAGTAACCTCTGTTTTTGTTCTGAAGTCACATCTTCACTTTCAGCAAAATGATTATCATCTTCTGTAGTATCTAATTTAAATAAAAAATTAGTATGAAGTTTCAATAAATATGGGAAAGTGCCTACCTATTAACTATGTAATATACCTAAATCAATGTTGACTGTACATTTTGCTCGGGCAAACTCCTTGGCTAATCTATGCAGTTCGGCCCTGTAACTAGCTACTCGGTTGTGCAGTTTAGCGCGTACAGACACATCCGATTCTTTGACTGATAGGTCCATTTGTTCCAACTTGAAAAATATTAAATATCCAAGTAAAAATACAATAATATTATTACTATTTTTTTTTTCATTCATACTAACCAAATCATGAACCTCGTCGAGGTTTCGTTCGATTTCTTTGATGTAGTCATTTCTATCGCCTGTTCATTTCAAAAAAAAAAAATTGTTAAGACTCCACCTTTGGGTGTAAATGCGTTAATCATTACTCACTGCCCGCTATATGGCCGAGTCGGCTGATTTTCGATGTGATCTCAGCACTGGTCACACCAAATTGCTGTTCATAGTCGGCTAATAATTTACTGTAAAAAAACAAATTATTGCAGGGGTTGCATTAAAAAAAAATTAGTTCAACAAGTCTGGTTTGCATTGGTAGTGCGGGTGTAATTACTTTTCCATCTGCGGGCCATCAACAGATTTGGCCTAAATCAAAGACATCGCTGTCCAGGAGGTCGAGGACACGAGAACGAGTGAGTGAAAATCTTAAATACTTTGGACCGCCGCCGCAGCAGGTGGTCTGTAGTTTCAAAAAATAAAATTTACAATCACTCAATAAGTCAATACTACCCGTTATTGCTCGCAATTGCAACAGTGTAAGTACATCAGAATTTAGACTTAAGATGGAGCCTACAAATGCATCATGATGTTACACACTTGTAGTTTGTATTTCTGAACTGTTGTAGTGTTGAAGTGAAGTTGTTATTCAATATTCAATATTGTACTTTCGAACTTTTCCTTATCACATTGTAATCAATATAAGTGACGTCATCAAACACCACGTCGTATCACAGAATAACATACGAGCGACACAAATTAGTTTTCTGCAGCACTAGCTACCATGCCGCATGCGATCTACCGCATGTCCGCATAGGCAAAACTTAAATTCAATTTATGTATGCCTTTTGCCTAGTGCCCTAGTGGTTAATTTATAATGCCTACATCTGAACAGTTACAAATCTGCTTTAGTAACTGGTACCTAACGTGAAATTAAGTACCTACCTAGTTATAATAAGTGCCTTAAAAATTTTTATACCTAATAGTGGTTCAAAATTATAAAAGATTATAAAATGGTAAGATTTTTTATAAGTTACATAAAGAACCATTTTGACAAAATTCGTGAAAATCGCCAAAATTTGCAAATTATTTTGTGATTCAATATGTATGCAATTTTAAATTTGTATAACAAGGTCTCTGATAAGCAATTCACTGTGTAACCAAAAAATACGTGGGCACAGTATTTTTTTTCAGACATTTTAAGTTCGAACATGTATGAAATTCGATATTTAAATGAAAAATAAAAATTTTAGTTATTTTGTTGTAATTTAAAAATACGAGTATTATTTGTAGGTACTTGAAAGCATATGAATTTTATAATGTCCATAGGTCCTCACACGAGCTTTTGAGCATGAGATGTTCAGTGAAGTCCATTATTCTGTTGAAATAAATAAAAATAAAAATACCCTTTAATGAGAAAAAAAGAAACAATACTTTGCTTATGAGAACAGAATTTTTATTTTATGAAAAATAACACTGTTGTATTAAACAATAACATTATTTATGGGACACAAAGTGGTCAATGACTTATAGAACAATAAATATTGTAATACTAGCTGACCCGGCAATGCTTTGCTTTTGCTAGATTTCAGTACGTTTATATATTATGTTTAGGAATATGTATTAAATTGGATATGAATTATATATTTATATCAGATATGTAATTGGATTAATTTTTTTAGTATAATTTATACCTAACTGTGGAATATATTATTGGTTTTTTTATGATGTATGATTTTTAGATTTTCATCAATTATTTCAATTTGCCTTAAGCATTAAATATTTCTGGATACACCACCTTAAGTTTCTCACCTTCTGGTAGATATTGATTAATTAATAGATTTTGTTAGCATGTTACACGTGACAGCTACGTGTAATCGACTATAGGAAAAACACTGGACGGTTAGTCGTAACAAAGCTTAATTTCACAGGAAATTGGAGCCGTCTAAACTGGAATGGCAAATTGGCTGGTGTCATAGGTATTTTAGGAACTAAGACCGTTTTCAGTATTTCCACAGCCAGTAAGGATTATACACTCAAGCAGACAGTTTTTTAAAGATTTTATATTTGTAATCTTGTACTGTTGCATGAATGATTTTGATGGACTTAAGTTTCGGAGTAAAATTATAGGAAAACATATTTTTAAAATCAATTTGTGTGATGGATTCCCTGAAGGAGATAAAGAATTTAAAAATTCAGTTGGATGATATATATATTGCCTCCTCTTTACCTATATAAAACAGTGTCAACAGAATAGTAAACTTTTGTTGGTGCATTGCATTTTAACAGTAACTTGATCGTGAATTGGTGACAATTTTGCCCTTTCTTGCAGAAACCAAATTGACGTTTTAGTCGAAATGTTTGGTAAATCTGGATAAACATTTTCAATTATTTTCAGCAAATTAGACATCAAAAAACAAAGCTCCGACAGATCAGTTTTACCATTTCTAGTCAGTGACTGACCATTACCAACACGGAGTAATGCATCAGAAAAAGGCTTATTATCTTGGTCAGATGATAAATTTCTCAAATTCTCATATTAATTTTCAGTTTCAATTTAGCTATATACTTATATCTGGTCAAATGTAAGATCTCTTTAATGATACGTTTAGTTCATCAGCTCTAGTTCCACTTACTTCAATTGACGAAAATCTCCAGAAAATAAGACTGTAGGTACAGCCACCTATTAATGTATTTTTATTACGTAAGTTCCTCAAGGTTCTATCCAATACTTCAACCGAGCTTTTGTGGGACATGGATGCTTCGTCCCAAACAATGAACACTCAATCCCGCATCAATTTAGCGGTTTTTCTTTTTTGGATATATTACAGACACTTGATGTGTCATCATGGGACATTTTTAGGCGGATTTTGAAAGTGACATGCGTAGTTTGACCACCTTCTAAAAACTTAGCTGCAATGCCAGATAAAGCCACAGCAAGAGCGATATTTCTCTCTGTTTTATTTTGGCGAGCAATGAATTAATTAAAAATGTTTTTCCTGTACTTCCAGGGGCATCAAGGTAAAATGTTTTGCATTCGTAATTATTAATGGAGGTCATTTCTGCGTCATAAACCGTTTTTGATCAGAGTTTAAACGTCCCTCATTTTTAACGACCTGTATAATAGACGGAAGCTGTCGTAAGACGTTTCTCGCAAGTATTCAATATTAGTATTCAGATCTATATTGTTCGATAGAATTAATCCAAAATCAGTGATATTTTACCTAACCTAACATAACCGATGTAATAATCCCGGAGTTTAGACCTATTCATAAGTGAAAACAAATAGCTAAGTAAAAAGTGAAAAAACAATGCAAAAAACGGGTAACTGATACGGTGGTTCGAACTCTCGACATTAGAATCCTATTAAGGTGTCACTGCGCAAGAGGAATCTTAAACCGGGGCTATAATTGTATGCTATTTAAATATATACATATTATGTACGACAAATTTGATTGCGTCATAGAAATTTTGTTTATCAAGTTATACGAATAAATTATACATTAAAAATGTAAAACCTTACCTGCATCTAATCCAATCTAATCTAGACCTATTGATTAATGAAAACTGTACTAAAATCCGTTAGGTACTTTTTGAGTTATGCGCGCGTACATACAAAAAAGGGAGTTCTATTTTATATAGTATACAGAATACAGATACTGCAGATGTGAAAAAAAATTTAACAAAAAAAAATTGAAAAGAATATTACTCCAAAAAAGTGCCTTGTTGGCAGGTAATAATAAAAACAGAAAAAAAACATCATCATCCAAGAGCAAGACACAAAAAGCTGTATGGTGACTGGCACATGATGGCGGGGTGTATGCGTACACGCAAAAGTGGTCACATCCATACGTTCCTGCGGGCGGACGAGAAGCAATTGCCGGTGAGTTTACCCGCAGAGACCGCCGATCATCGTGACGACTGGCTAGGGCCCGACCGCGACGGCCCTCCGAGCAACCGGACGATTGGCGGCGGGCAGCTAGTGCGCGATGTTGTACGCGTCGACGATTGGCAGGTGCAGCTGAAGAGACGACTGTTGTTGCGTCGTTGCGACGATGGAGACTGAAGCACTGGGCGAGCGAAGACAACCATAGGGGCTACGGAATCGACAGTGACCTGTCGGAGGCCTGTGGGATCACCACTGGGCAAAAACCGGAGAGAATCTGCGGATAGCGCTGCGTTACTGATACCGCACACACAGCAGCATTTTTATTAACTATATACTTACACATTGAAAAATAAAAACAATTGATAATATACTCTTAGTTACACAGATTATTTTGTCTATATTGAGTTATGAATGTACTAATATATTATTTGATTTATTTAATAAAATAATTTTGTGAATTTTAATCTATGTACTTTATAATATGTAAAATATAAAGGTACTTATACTAAAAGTTTCTTAATTTTGTAAGTTAAATGTATCCTCAATTCATCCTTATTGCAAGACATCTAAAGGATAAACAGAAAAGGATATCTGGACATTCTATGAGTATCCTCTGGTAGTCCTGAGGATAGTCCTGACCATCCTACTAGGACTATTAAAGTACATATTATGGAGTATGGTCAGTATGGACATTCATTTGCTGTGTGTGATACTATTCCGTTATTTTCGCCCTGGAGTCACGTCGGACAAGTCTGCGTCCGGTGGCCGGCCGGAAGTCGCGCACTGCCGTAACCTGAAACGTAATGAGTTTTCACGTGCAAATCCCCTATTTTGCCGCTCTCTTGTCTGGTGCTACTCGACCGAGAAGGGGCAGGGGAGAACTGCCGGTTTTCATTCCTCTTGGAAGCAACAGCACAGTAATAGATTGGCCACCTGTCCCACACCCTTCCACGCGGTGGCGATTATTCGCCGAGATCTGGAGGCTATTGATGGCGGCGCTTCCTGGTCACACTCCCTGGAAAGTTCACCCTATCTCTCCTCTATTTCATCCTTCTCGACCGGATTGTCTTCCGTCTTAATCTCTCGTTCATCTTCAACCGGTGCCGGTTGTGTAGCATCAACATTCAATATTGCATCCTGTCCGGGTAACCGTTTGACTGCTACAATCACCACCGCCCATTTGCTCCAATTTCATTTCACGACACACAGTTTCGATCATATCACCCAAAAGGGTGGTCAGGACTTCTTCGATGGACTCATTCGTTTTGTACAATCAAAAATCAAAATATTTCCCAGACGACGAGTACAACGTTTTTCGAACCTATCGACTATCTGCATTATCTGAGTTAATTATTCTTTATATTTGAATATCATATTTTATAAATCTACGAGAAATGGATCCTAGACAAACATTATAGACAAACGTCTAAAATTTTTTTTTCATATTACGTCCTTTTACGAAGGAACCAACAACATGTTTTTACGAACACCCAAAAACCGGTGAAAAGTCAAAACAATTAACTAATATTAGCATAATAATACTCATATAAAAATAATAATATATTATTTATTTAACATAGCAAATATAATTAGTTGTATACAAAAATATATTAATTATTTATACTTGAACATAAATAATACAATGCAATACAAGACAAAAAAAAATATTGAAAAATACAATTTTATCCCATCACTGGTTTATACATTAGTTCCACTGACGGTTCTAGCGTAGGGGCAGAGTGGCTAAAATGTTAGGGAGCTTGTAGTTTCTGTCTGATATTACATGAAAAACAATCAGTAA